TATAAAAATTGGTAATAAATCAGCTTTTTATGTAGAATTGTTTAACAAAGGTATTTGTTCCATAAATGACATTATGTCTGAAACTGGAAAATTTCTCTCCAATGCCCAGTTAAAGGAAAATTTTGATATTGAAGAAAATGCTATGAAATATAACAGTATTATTTCTGCTGTTAAAAAAGCAGCAAAAATTTATGCTGTTGATGATTATAAGTTATTGGCTCCATTTATTCCATCCTTTTTGAAAATTCTGTTGAGAAGCTCAAGGGGAACAAAAGATATGTATTCAATACTAATCAAGAATAATATTATATCAAATGGGCATGAAATTATAAATTGTGAAAAAGGGGAATGGAAAGAAATTTTTAGACTACCTTTTGTAGTGACAAATAATACCAAATTGCAATGGTTACAGTATAGAATCAATCAGCGTATTTTAGGAACAAACAAATTATTGTCTAAAATAAAAATAATGGATAACCCAAATTGTACATTTTGTCAAAAAGAAGATGAAACAATTGAACACTTGTTTTGGAATTGTGAGATTGTACAAATATTTTTAAATGAAACTAAACATTGGTTTCTTTCAAATGGTATAAGTATTCCCTTTACTTTTCAAAATTGTATTTTTGGAGATATCTCAAAAGCTTTTAGTAGAAATGTGACCAACCTAATTTTTCTGCATATCAGACATTATATTTTTAGTTGTAAATACTTTAAGAGAAGACTTACATTATTTGGAGTGCAAAAGAAAATACAGGATCTTTACTGTATTGAGAAACACATTGCTGTTAAAAACAAGAAACTGGAAATTTTCGATGAAATGTGGAATACTTTCACTATATTATTTGACAGTTAAATAAATAAATGTACAAACATATAGAAGCAAACTTTTATGTTTAAATTTGAAAGAAATAGGATAGGATGTTAAATTAAAATTCATCTAGGCAAAACTTTTTTTCTTTTTTTTTCTCTCTAATTATCAGTTCTCTTCAATATCTGGTCTATAATGCAGAACTCACTATGAGTTTTTGTATCTATTTTTATATATATATATATATCTGTATGTTTTGGTATTTAAAGTATATTTAATTTTAAGCTATTTAAATTGTTAAGGAACATCCAAATTTTTATTTCTGTTATGATATGTATTTTTATTTTATTATGTCATTATAATGAGTAAATTACTAACAAATACTAATATCTGCATATATATGTTATTTACTAATGTTAACGAGGCCGGGATAAGGTACTGGTATTCGATGTATTCAATTAACAAATGTACAGATTTCAATAAAAAAAAAAAAAAAAAAAAAAAATAATAATAAGATCTATTTTGTTACATCTTGTGATCCGTTTATTTGGCAATTGCCAATGGCAGTCAGCAGGGTTTAAGAACATCAGTTGTTCGACCTGCTGGTCAAATGCGTTTTGTTAAAATATACTTTTTCACTCATTTGGTCTTTTGGAAAATATTGTTTGTGCTGTATTTAGACCCCTCTACCAAGAAATTAGTTTTGCATGCACACGTATAAAAATTGCGGTTTTTATCCAACGCAATCATAGGTTTGAACGTTGTTTTCAATTTAGACTTGTATATATATATATATATATATATATAATTTGTCTAAACAACAGCCCAATAATGTTAGATCTGTCAATTTGCGGAAGCAAATTTTTTGTTTTTCCCTGGCCGGGATTCGAACTCATACTACTGATATATCGTGGCACCAAATCACCTTGCACTATGTCCGACGCGCTAGACCACTCGACCACCTAGGCTCTATAAAAATAAAGCTTTCGGTGGCCGGGTGTTACCTTTCCTCGTCAGTTTTTATCTAGCGTCGTAACACAGTACATGATATATAAGGCATGAAGATGGAATTGCGAAAGATTAGCTGAATTATCTATTGTAAAGGATCCTACAAATTAATGTAAGATGCAGTCACAGAAATAATTATATTATAAGTACGTCTGAACCAGTGACGACGCTACAACAGATTTTATCCATCGGATCACCAGCAGTGATGGTGATACAAGGCTGAAAATACATTCTGTATATATAATTCGTCTAAACAACAGCCCAACAATGTTAGATCTGTTAGATATATATATATATATATATATAATATGTAACTATCTAAATAACTAAGGGCAGCGGAACGGTCAAACATTAAAATTGGTGGGAAATACTTGATTCGTCATACCTTTGGTAATATTAAGTTAAGTATTAAGTCAACACAAACCTGCTATTATAGATGATGTTATAATAAAACTAAGATACAATGTTAAATCCATCATTTAATCCTCTATAAACGTCATGTCGAGAATACATGGAAATCTTTAAGGAAGTTAATGTTAATACGTACAAAAGGATATATTTCCTGTGGTTTAAAGTATTTAAAGAGCATATCGAGTGGTTGTATCTTTATGTACTATAACTCCAAACATGTGAACAAGTGACTAACATTTTTAGACCTTTATATGTACAATCGAAGCTGTTTTCTGCAGTTTCAATGAACTCATTTTAACGAACATTTGAATTAAAATTGAAACAAATCACACGTTAAAAAATAATTTAAATTCTACTAAACTTATTATCAGGAATGTAAGACATTAAGACATTTCATTTTCAATCGTTTTTTTTTTTTTGTCTTTTAATTTATTTACTGTCGGACTGGAGCCTCTCAGACGACGGTTACTTAAAAATCACGTTTTGCGACAAAAGCCGCACTAAACAATGCAAAAACTGTTAAACGGCATCGTGTAGGAAAATGCAAGACTCTAAACTCTTGCTTTTTCGCGTTCAACAACAACGTTTTCACATTTGAAGTTCTCAATTATTTTGTTTTTGTATTCACAAGCTGGCGTTTTGAACAAAGACAATGATAATTATCATTATATTGACCATCCGAAGGGCCGATACATTGTAATGTTTCAGTATTTTTGTGATTTACTTTTTAATGGGTTAAAGTGTTGTCAATTCTCACAGTACAAATTTTCTCTCTCCACAAAATTACCTATGCGTGTCAATGAAGAGCTGACATTTTATTATTTAAAAAAATATCAACAAACATACTGAATTCCTAGGGAAATTTAATAAGAGGGAAAATCCGTAAAACCTGATAAAATCAACCGCTTGGCTATATCAACCATCGGAAAAAATGCGTTCAACCTGGGTGTATTAATACAAAATTACTTGATACCGAATATGCACATCTTTGTCAATTTGCATATTACTTTCAAATTACCTTATCAAAGGCTGAAGAGCAATCAACGATAATAAAACTGTCAAATTTCGCTTGACGAACCGTCGACCACCTAATCCACGAGCAGATAATCTTATACTAATGAAAAATACACTTTTTTTAGTCACTTAAAGTATTTCTAGTATCAGCATGGAATTTGTATGAAGCTAGTAAGTTATTTTTGTATTTTATATTCTGTTTTTGAGCTTTACCTTTTCCCCCGTTGTTAGTAAAGGTTCATTTATGTTCTCCTTCGCTATGTTCATACGAACATAAAGATTGTCTCAATAATACGTAAATAAAACAAAAAGCAATGTGGGATGAGAAATTGCACTGATCAGTTTAATATTAATAAATTGTGACAATTCTGTAAATCATGGTCTCCAAATCTCCGAATAAATGGTAGGAAATCTACAAATACAAAAATGTTCAATCAGAAAAAGAGATAACTCTATTTAATAACATAACATATCATGAATGCAAAATATACGTGTCGATCTGATCAGTGATTTTTTCTCGACAAGAGAAAAGGCGCGAAATTGAAAGATATATATGTATGAAAACCGAATTAACGAGTCTAGGCGTATGCAAATATTTATACGCCAAATTAAGGAATGAATTTATGTTCTCCTTCGCTATGCTCATACGAACATAAAGATTGTCTTAATAATACGTAAATAAAACAAAAAGCAATGTGGGATGAGAAATTGCACTGATCACTTTCGACAAAAACAAAGGAAGGTAGGATCTTCTAATCACCAAATTATAATCCCAAATTTTGAGAAATTTTAAGACTATTTTCTAAATTTTCTTTAATGTAACCATCTTTAGCCGTGTCTGTCTTCTATCTACCGTGAGCTTTCAAAAGCCTGTCGGGAACAGAATTACTAGCAGCTGCTGTAGCACCTCCGCTCCTTAAACTATGTAAGCCAAATAGAGATCTATTTAGACCTATGTCAGAAAGTGCATCTAGAACAAATTCCCTAGTTCGAGTGTAAGATAAAGGCCTATTCTTGCAGACTAGTTTGTGCTTATCAATAGACTTGAAGTACGACAAAGCTCTAAAGATGTATTCGTCGCTTCCAACGGGCAAACTTGCAACGCGAAAATATTTCTGTAACATAGAAACTGGACAAAGGTCAGTGCTAGTAGTGTTACCCTGTCGATATCTATCCGTCTTACTTTTTTAAATGTTAATTTTTAGATGAGAATCGTTGAACGTTAAATCAGGAGATCGGATGTGTGCCAACTCATCGTATCTTAGAAACCCGGAAAAATCTAACAGCATCATAGCACAGATCCTCAACCCTGGCAAATTGTTATTTTTGTCGAATTTTGCAATAATACTCTGCAAAATCGATGGGGTGAAGGGTTCTTTCCTTTTCAAAGGTTTAGATAACAATCTTATGCCACCTTCTAATACCATGTCTAGTAATTTGTCATTTAATATACTGTCGTATAGATTAAGATCAATGTTCCCACCTAATTGAATAGTACGCTGCGTTTAAAACGGCAGTGGAAACTCCAGATTGAATCAAGTAGTTAAGATGAATAGCAAAAGTACAAACGGTGGTAGTCAAAAACGGCAGATTGTACTTTAAGCACCAGTATTTGAATCTTTTAAAATATCCTTTATATTTCTTCAAAGTATTTTCACTTTTTGAAGCAGTAACTACTGAAGATAAAGAAACTGTTAGAGCTTTCAAGTCAGGATTTGAAAAATGTTTTAAGGATTCCCAATGCGAATGTTTGAATCTAACCTGAAAAATAGATTTAAATGAAATTAATCATATTTAAAAAATCGTATAGTGAAATACTATATGTAAATTAATTTATTCAGAGATAATCTCAATTTTGATATACTAGTATACTAACAGACTGAATGTGTTTAGATAAAGATATAACAAAATTAAACTTAATGACATTTTTGAGAGGGCCCAAACGGGACTTATTTTTGTAAAATTCGTCAAAACATGATAAAATAAAGTAATGCCCAAACGGGACTTTAGTCATGCGTGCGAGAGGCCCAAAACGGGACTTATCTCTGCCGAATCAAACCGAACAAAATAAAACAAAATAATTCCCAAACGGGACTTTGGTGTATGCGTGGTAGAGGGCCCAATCGGGACGTATCTCTTCAAAATAAAGCAAAACAAAACAAAGCCCAAACGGGACTTGTGTAAGTTTGCCAGAGGACCCAAACGGGACTTATCTCTTCATTATAGAACAAATACGGAATAAATCGAAATAATGCCCAAAACGGGACTTATGTATGCATACGAGAGGGCCCAATCGGGACTTATCTCTGAAATAAAAATAAAAAAACAAAAACAAAAAATAATCAAAGTTATGCCCAAACGGGACTTTAGTAAGTGCACAAGACGGTATAAACGATTTTCTCTCTATAAAATGCATATAAACTGCAACTCCAATTCTGATCATGCTCAACCAGTACGTGTCGTAAAACAAATTCTTACAGATTTTATGCCCAAACGGGATTTGTCGCAAACTACTAGTATAACACCGACAATAATAATACCAAACGGGACTTTTCACAAATAAACTCGATATAACAAAACCATTATGGGCTTTGCCGCAAAATTAATTCAAGAAAAGTAATGCCCAAACGGAGCTTGCCGCCAAATAAACTTTAGGAATAATGATTCTCAAACGAAACTTGTCACAAACTTAACTTCAAAAAAGATAAAAACCCGATCTTGTCGGAAATTGAGCTAAGCAAGAATAATAATAAAAATAAAAAAAAAAAAAAAAAAAAATAAAAAAAAAAAATTATTAATTCAATAACAATACATAACTAGTTGCAAAATAAAATATAAAAATAGAATTATAATATCAGACGGAAAAATAATAATTAAAAAAATACAAACGGATATGGAGTGATATACTTACGGATTTAACTACAATCGATCTTTAATACGAGAACGTTGAAAGTTAATGGAGTATGGATGAAAATGCTATTTTTATCCGAACCTTTACCAAAAAATCCAGATGGTTTCGTACTCTACAAAATCCTTTACAAAAGATTTGTATTGGTTGTTCGATGATGACCACAATAAAGGCCAAAAACATGACGAAGTCCATTTTGGAACAACGATAGTACCCTTTCCTTTACAAATAAACATATGATTCAATGTTCTACCTACAAGGAGGAACTAACCAACAGTTATAAGTATTCCACGAGAACCCGAAAGCATCAACACCACTTGTATCTGGACACCAATATGCCGAAAAAGAAAATAGGTAATTTGTGATTGTTGTAGTCGGCGAAAACGTCGCAATCGAACGGACCCCATAAGGAATTAAAATACTTGAAATACACATCATTAACATACCAGTCATTAAAGTCAAACAATTTGCTGTAAAAATCTGCAGTGGTGTTAAGCTCCCGGGGAACCCATTCTACTTCAAGGGATAACCAATTGTGAATGCACAGATTAAATATTTTCAAAGCGATTTCTTGTAATTCGGATCTCATGCTCCCAGCCTGCACAATTTTAACTACATTTTGATTGTCTGTATAAATTTTCACCAAACGATTTTGAAAGTCTGTCAATAAGGAAAATAGGGTTATAAATACTGCTGAAAGTTCTCTGAATGTGGAGCTTTTCTTCGCCTCGTCGGGAGTCCACATTTTATGTACAATTTTATTGAACGTTTGAACAGAAAACCTTGCGTCAGTTAAGACAATACTATCCGCTAGAAATGAGACGGGAAAGAGAGATTTCCTTGGAAGTGATCTGCAATTATTCTTCCAAAAATTTAATTCTAGGATTGTTTCGTTAGTTAACTGAATACGAAAATCCCAATGATCGCTAGCGGCGATGAGGATGGATGAGCATATTCCTGGTCATTATCCTGCAAATGTTGCCAAAACTGGGAATAAAAGAAATTATCTTGCCAGTAACTCGTGCTAATTGTGTAGCGGTAATATTATTAATGTTGCTAAAAATATCATCTAAAGTAGTTTTAAAGCGCTCAATCTTATCTTCAGGTATCTCCAAATTAAAAGTGTCCAAATGCCAGCGGACCCCAAGCCAAGTTAAAACTTTTGTGGGGTCCCAAATACTTTTTTCATGATTCGAAAAAAAACCCGCCGACAATAAATCACGCTTTAAGACCTTAGAAAGCTTCACACAATCCTCAAAAGAGGACTCAATCCCCCAACCATCATCTAATTATATGATCATACGGTAACCTTGTGATCTCCAGTGCTTAACTAGTGGCCTCAAAACTTTAGAAAACACATGACCAGCTGTAGATAAACCAAACGGTAAACATCTAAAAACGAAATACCGAATGCCGGTTGGGAAAACCCAACAGAAACCTAAAAACTCTTGATGATCTTCATGTATATTAATATGATGATATCCACATTTTAAATCAAATTTTATCATAAATCCTGGATTTGATACAAATTGCAAAGCCTCAGTAACACCTTCGTATTTAAATTTCCTTTTTTCATTAAACTTATTAACGTGCCTCAAGTCCAAAATCAATCTCTTTTTACCTGAGTCGTTAACTGACACCGATAACGGATTAACGATAAAAGGAATGTGATCTTTTACCTCACGAATCACACCTGTTGACAATAATTCTATAATTAACGACTCAACAAAAGATGTGTGTTTTATAGCTGAACCGTTGTTCTTTAAAAAAGCTAACGTAGGCAATTTGTAAAAAAAGTATAAGGTATCCAAATTCGACAACGTTAAGAACAAAATTTTTAGCATTTAAAGTATATTTCCAAAAGTCTAAATTTCTTCGTAGGTTATCTACTCTAAACGAGCCAGCTAATGAGCACTCAAATTCAAAATCTTGTTCTTGACTTATAAAAGGAGATAAATTGTACTTAACTGTGTCATCACTTTGCTCCTGAAGAACCACTGGTCTCGGCTGGTTGGAACCTACGTCTCTTTGGGCAGTGATAGGCCCAGTTACCCTCGCCATTGCAGTAATAACACATGTCTGTTGGTTGTGAACTGGTGAAGTAGTCATTCTGGTTGTAGATACCGGTGCGAGGCCCTGTGCGGGTTTGTGTTCCTTGTCCAATCGGATATTTGTAGTTTCTATGTACTTCTTTTGTAGATGTTGATGAAGTTTTACAAAAAGGCTCATCTTGAGTCACTTGAGGGCTCTCTGGTTCTGGAATATAAGGAGCAGAACGGGTCCTTACTTTGTCTCGTCTCTCAGCGTTAGCCCGGTAATCGGCTTGTCTTAACTTAGTTGCGTCGTCGGTCCCCTCTGTTATTGGGTCGTCTATATATTCGTCCACGACATCCCAACCGTATTTGTCGGCTATTCGTAGAATCTGATTTCTTTCCTTCAGGGCTTTGATGCTCTTTTATAGAAACTGAATGGATAAAGCCGGAGAGTCTTTCTCTATGAGTTTAAGGGTCTTTTCAAGTTCTACTAAACGTTTTCCTTTAAAACTAAATTGTCTTTCATTAGCGTCGTACCTGAATTTAGGAGTCTGTTTTGCCGGAGGTAAACTTTCAGCTTCTTTAGCACCAATTCTCGTGTCAATCTCCTTGAATAACTCTTCTTTGTGCTCTCTCAAAGTCAAATCAAGGCTTTGCGTAAACGCGATAATGCATCCTAAGGTAAAAATCAAGTAGACCCTTCACGATCTTCACTGCGTTCCCATTCGTATAGGCGATTCCGGTTCAGGTTCACTCATAATAACAAGGTCAGTATACGTGTCGATCTGATCAGTGAATTTTTCTCGAGAAGAGAAAAGGCGCGAAATTGAAAGATATTATATATGTATGAAAACTGAATTACCGATTCTAGGCGTATGCAAATATTTATACGCCAAATTAAGAAATGAATAAAATGCGTACCTACTGAGAGCATCTCGCTATTCTCATAATTCAGGAGGAATACTTAAGCGGTGTCTTCAACCTATGCCAATTGATAAGTCCTTAATAAATCTATGTTTTTATAACGATTAATCTGTTGAAAATTATTCAGCGTATGCCAACATTGTTCGTAAAATTTTATATCTAAATTTCAAAATGTTGGCATGGGTTGAATGAACCACTTTAGCACTGTCCAAAACTTCAACAAAGTAAAAATACAAATTTGTAGTCAAAACCAGTGATATTATAGATATTTCCAATACACGTTATATTTTAGGAGTCAATACAATACGATTTTATTGACCAAAATATTCATTGAAATTACTTTTTTTCATTTTTTTTTTTAACATAACAATATTTTTATTGCATATGTGCTGTAACAACTTTCTAAGTTTACAGCTTTGAGCTAAGTATCGGATTCCTTTAGGTTATTGTACCTAATAGTTAAGGGAAGCACTATTTGGTAAGATATAACTTATTCATGATATTAGTATCTATAATATAATTCATTCCACAAATGTATTTAGTAATTCATTGTGAATACACATGTTTGTTTTTATTTTTTTTTATATATAGGACTTAGTTTTCCGGAATCAACTCTGTTATCAATATGATCCGTGTTCCATTTAAATTTGGTCACAATGCTGCTTCAGAAAACATGTGCGCTATCAGATAGATTTATGATATGTGTCATCTAAGTATTATTATTCTAAAGAGGATTTAACCTATTGATATTGATATTACTGTTTCAAATTTACTTAATGGGTTTAGAGTTAACAACTATTCCATGTCGGGGCCTCTTATTGCCGACTATACGGTATGGGTGTTTCTAATTTTTGAAGACTGTACGGTTGCCTATAATTGCTTACATCCTCTTCATT